AGGGTCTCCCTCACCCTCCTTGGCATTCTACTTCACTAAATATGGTGTCCTCCTCCAACTGATCTTTCCCTATGACACGTCCAAAGCAAGCAAGTCCAGCAACATTCTGTTTTGATCCATAAGGTTTTCATTGGTTGATTTTCAGAAGTAAATTACCAGACCTTTCTTCTTCATCTGTCTTAGTCTGGAAGCTCCACTGAAACCTGTGCACCATGGATGATACTCCTGGTATTTGAAATACTGCCAGCATAGCTTCCAGCATCACAGCAACACATACGCCACCACAGTACAACCAACTGATATGAGGCCTTTGCCTCATATCCCTGCAGGTTTTCCATTAATTCTTCTCTTGGTTTCCTTCATCTTCCCTAATCCCTTCTAGCACCCTCCTTCTTGCTCCTTCATGTAGGCCCATGATGTAGAGAAAGGAGAATGTCTTCACAATGCAGAGGCCTTGATCTAAGCCCTGTCTCCACCTCTCCCAATTATGTGATGTTATGTGTGTGACTTAACCTCATGGAGCCTCAGTCTCCTGCCTGTAAAAACTTCCTTACAGGGTGGTTGTAAGGACCAGAGAAGACAAACTACATTCCTGTCACTTTATTTCCATCTCTATCTATGTGAACAGACAACTCTACACAACTTTTGTGGTATTAAAATTCTTGACCATTTCGGTTATGTATATTGAAATCAACAAAAAGCTACAACCAACTTCCTAGGTTTGAAATACCCTCTAAGACTGTGAGAAATTTAACTAGGAGGCTTTAAGGAAACTTAAAAGTTGACCTAATAGCAATGTAGATGTTTTTTATTAATTTAGTTACATTTTTCTGTGTGGGAGGAAAAACTGGGTGATGGTATTTTCTTCTTAGGCCCAAGTCTTAGATGTTAAGGGTCTATGATAAACAAACCAAACCAAACCCATTGTAGTCAAGGCAATTCTGACTCATAGTGAACCCTATAGGACAGAGTTGAGCTGCCCCATAGGGTTTCCAAGGAGCAGCTGGTGGATTCCAACTGCCGACCTTTTGGTTAGTAGCAGAGCTCTTAACTGCTGTGCCACCAGAGCTCTGTCTATAATAAATCTCCTCTTAAATAAATAAAATATAAAATTCTCTAAGGCAGCAATTGGCAAACTTTTACTGTAAGGGCCAGGTAGTAAATATTTTAAGTTTTGCAGGCCATATGGTCTCTGTCACAACTACTCAACTCTGTTGTTTTTACACAATAATACATAAACTTTATTTACAGAACCAGGCAGCAAGCTACAGTTGGCTCACAGGTTGTAGTTTGCTAACTCCTGCTCTAAGGGATGATTGGAGATTGCAGTGACCACCAATGACTCAGAAAGTCAGAAATTATGGTTGGATGATAGATTTCAGGAGATACTACTGATAATTCTGAGATTATTAAGGATTTTTGGTTAATAACGAATGCCATTGCTATTTTTTGGCCTGAACACATTCTCCTGAGAGAAAAATCAATCAGATCAAGCCTTTGAATCTGGAATAACTTGCCTTTGAAAGTAGATTTGGATTCTATAGGTTTGTTGGCAATAGGTGAACCCATCCCAGCTCCCCAACCTGGTAGAAAGGACCACAGAGAGGAATCAGAAATCCCCCAAAGTGGGGAATTAACAATAACATTAATAATAATAATTACTATTTATTGAGCTACCCTCTCCTTCACAAACCATGAGCAGTTATCCACATTTTACAGAATACAGCTAAATTTTAGTTAAGAGAGGGTAACTAATACACCCAAGATCACACAGGGCTGGAATTTAAATCCAGATGAATTACTTTCCATTTTGTTGTGATACTTCCCTCAGCAAAAGTAACATTACTTTCCCTGGGACACCTACCTTTCTTCAGATTCAGAACCAGAGGGGGAAAAGACCTCTTCTTCCTTTCACCTTTACTTTCCAGCAGTATGCTAAGTTTAAAACACAAACAATAAATGTCTCCTGAGTCAGCCACTACTCTGCGCCAGGCATAAAGCTTTCATTATATAAAATCTCTATATATTTTTTATTTCCAGAACTAAATTGCAAGGAAATAAAGAAATGGATAGTGAAAAAATCATGTAATAAACACCATAGACATGGCTTTCTCCATAGAATGTAAGCTCTATGAACACAGAAGTAATTGTCAGTTTTGTTCACTGCTTTATCTCTAGCACTTAGAATAATGCCTAGCACATAATAGGCAATATTGTTGCACAAATAAAAAATGTTAAAACTAGAGCCTTTATGTTGTGATTGGGTTAAAGCTAGCTTGAATAAACATGACTCTTTTAACTTTTTTAAATAACAAAAATAAGTTTGATAAGCAAAATTTAACGAATCTTTGAGGTCATAATATGAAGTGTAGTGATGGAAACTAGTGATTGTCTTAGTTCTTTTAATGTTCTCAGCGAAAGTGGATGTTAGTACAAAGATGAAACAAGTTTACAGCACATAGCAGCTATGAAGAGTGGCGCTGGATATTTTCTCCTAGTTCTTTGCTACTTCCAAAGATGCAAGCTTATGGAATTCATTTGAAAATTCCATTCATTCTTTATTTTTCCCCCTAAATCTGTCATTATTGCATGAATTTTTATCTCTGAAAGTTTCTTTTTACTAAGTTTGTGTCTTTTTTTATGTTGTGCATTCTAAAATCCAAGTTATTATTTAGTGGCAACAGCTGCTGGGAGCCACTGTAGTCAATGAATTATGATCCCATTTACGTGGCAAGTTTGCCTTTGATGTCTACCCTTTAACAGTAATAGGGGCTCCAGAGAGCAGCAAGGCCTCTGGGAGAAAGGGCAAACTCATTGACAAGTTTGGGCATGCACAGAGAGGACGCATACTCAAGAAATATGAGGATGGAAGTGCCTTTGGAACAAACATGCTTTTGCAGCTGGATTTGTGTAGGGGCTTCTGTTAAGCCCTGTATATTCCCAAGATCACTACCTAGACACTGTGGCTCCTTGGCAGAAAATCATTGTTAAGTCTTTATTGAATTTACAATAAGTATATGTGATATTCATTTCTAGTGGTGATTAACTGTTACCCCCAACACATAGCAAAGCACTGGGGTTCTAATCTTTCTCCCTGGTTTTCACTTTGCAAGTTATTATTTTCTTAAGATTAAGTATCTCACAGAATTACACAGCAGTAACTTATGCAACCACCTTCTTAGCATGTTCTATCTACAGCAATATGCCTCCCAAAGAATCCTTTAAAGCCCTAAGCAATTGAAGAAGCCAAAATGTAGTGCTGTTTATTTGTTTTAATGTAGAATCCTCTATCTGTTTTATATAAATCAATTGAAGTGAATAAGTTTTGCTATTGAAGTTTCTTCTGTTTGCAACCAAAATAATTTGCAAGCTTACTTGTGTCAGATTTGTAATGTTTTTTTAAGTCAAGAAGAATTAAATGTGTATAACACTTTGGGAAAATTTGTAATGAGAGATTTGCTCCTGTTTAAAATATCTATGCATTTGATTATCCTATAAACAGGGAGATAAGAGTTAAAGGATTAAAGAAAGCTGTGAAGTTGACTTTCTGTATACAGTGAAGACTCTGATGTTTGTGAGCCCATTGGTAAAATTTAGTTCTGAGATTAACACCATGAAATAAGAACTTGGTCCAAAATGGCAGCAGTAAAGAGAAATAAGAGTTTCCATGAGATGGTTTCTACATAAACTCTGATGAGCCTGAGAATATGCAAGTTGCCCTGATGTTTATTCTTCTATTAAAATAACAGCTAAAAAATGATCAAGTATCTATCATGCATCAGAAATTATGTGCAAAGCATCTTACATCTATTATTTCATTTCATCTTTCTGTGAGATGGGTAGATTATTATCCTCATTTATGGATGAGGAAAAGGGAAGGAAATGGGGATTTGTAAATATCAAGTAACTTGCCATAGGTTGCCAGGGTAATATGCAGCAGAACCGGGACTCAAACCCAGATAATTTGCCTCTGGAGCCTGAACTCTTACCCTTTGCCCATGAAATCTCCAATGGAACTGGCAATCAACACATTTTAGGGTGAAAATGAAAACAGTTACATAGGGACATCCTACAAGTATAATCCTATTATAGGTAGTGTCATCATAAATAAGAAAATACCAACATAAATAAATATTCAGAATAAACAAAATCCAATTGCTTCACGGCCCTGGAAATAGTGTTGTGTAACTGTCTTAGTTATCTAGTGCTGCTGTAACAGAAATACTGTAAATGGGTGGTTTTAACAAACAAAAATTTATTTTCTCACAGGTTAGGAGGCTAGAAGTCCAAATTCAAGGAGCTGGCTCTCGAGGAAGGCTTTCTCTCTCTGCTGGCTCTGGAAGAAGGTCCTTTTCTCTTTGAGCTTCTGCTCCTGGGTGATCTTTATGTGGCTTGGCATCTCTCTTCACCCATCTCTACTTCTTTTGCTTGCTTGTTTTAATCTCTTTTATATCTCAAAACAGGTTGACTCAGGATAAACCCTACACTAATCCTGCTTCATTAACATAACAAAGACAACCCATTTTCCAGTGGGATTATAACCACAGGCATAGAGGTTAAGATTTACAACACATATTTTGGGGGGACATAATTCAATCCATAAAAGTAACTAAAATGACTTTTATCCAATGAAACAATTCTCTTTAGAGGGTAGAATTTGGGGAAAATGATAACCTTACTGCACCCTATAAACTCTGTTTTTTGTTTTTGCATCTCAGATTAGTGTTTCTACATCTTAATTGAGTTCACTGTCTAAGTAAACAAAAATCCCTCTAAGTATTTCTATTTTTTTGGAGACATGACAAATCTGGGACTCAAAGAAGTTGGGAAAATTGTCTGAGATCATACAACTAGTTGGTAGCTGAAATGGAATGCAAACTCAAATCTTCTGATTTCAAGTCTAGTGAAGTATTGCCCCCTTCAGCCATAAAATGGCAAAGTGTGAACAAAAGAGGTTTGAGACATATACTCAACACTGTACTTGTTCTTTCTCCACATAGGTCGCTACCCTCAGGAAAACAAGGGCACCTACATCCCCGTTCCTGTTGTCCCAGAGCTACAAAGGGGAAAGTGGGGAGCCAAAGTTGTCATGAGAGAGGACAGGTCCGTCCGGCTGTCTGTCCAGTCATCCCCAGAGTGCATTGTGGGCAAGTTCCGCATGTATGTTGCTGTCTGGACCCCCTACGGCATAATCCGCACCAGACGAAACCCAGAAACTGACACATACATCCTCTTCAATCCTTGGTGTGAAGGTAAGGAAGGGGCGAGTGTCCATTTTTATCACAAATAAACAATAGTTCACATATTTTCAATACATCTGTTTTTGGAAGGGTAGCAGGATTGTTCTAGAAGAATTTCCCTGTCCTACATACACGCATTTCCAATAATAAAAAAAAAAAAAAAGATATTATGCAAAATCTGTGCTCAGTGTGCATATAGGAGGGTAAAACCTGTATATAAAAAGAGAAAGCTGCCATACATTTATTCCAGGAATTAATCAAAGATCACACAAAGTTGCACAATTAGTTGATTGTGAAAATACACATTGATTTTATAGCTGGTAT